AGAAGACTCTTTTGCCTGAAGTCATTCTGCTAAAGAAGTAGTCAAGGCTGGACTACCAACTCAGGTAGGACACCAAAGCCTATGCATTGTATTGTGTGACTTCCAACAAGTATCTGCCTGTCCCCAGGCTATCTCCCTGGCATTTCTAAACCTTAGCCTTTGTATCCTCTTCATAAAAGGAGGCAGGGAAGGACAGCAGCATGAAGTTGTTAAGGAACTTCAAACTGACAGTGTGTTTCTGTGATGAGACGTTAACCTGGTGGAGCAGGATGAAAGAACTCACAGAAGCAGGGAGGGACCAAGGAAAAGTCCAAAGGGACCTACTGTTACCAATTTGTGTTTATCCATTGCTGAGCTCTGGGAAGATGAGTTCTTCCTTCCCGGAAGCTGGCTTGCTGTAGGTGAAACAGGCACGTGATAGGTCATTTTAACACACGTGGGACTGAGTGGAACCAGTGGCTCCGCTGTGCTTTAGTTGATGGCAGGCCTAGTGATATTCAGACCTCAAACTCACTTGAGGCCACAGGGCTGCTCCCTGTACTGTACTGTTCTTTCTGTTTGGATTTTCCTGAATTCATTTACTTTTTTTTTTTTTTTGGTTTTTCGAGACAGGGTTTCTCTGTGGCTTTGGAGCCTGTCCTGGAACTAGCTCTGTAGACCAGGCTGGCCTCGAACTCACGGAGATCTACCTGCCTCTGCCTCCCGAGTGCTGGGATTAAACGATCACCTGTCAGCCACCACCGCCCGGCTCATTTATTTACTTTTGAGACAAGGTCTTACTGTACAGTCCTGGAAATCACTATGTAGGTCAGGCTAACCTCAAACTTGCCTTAATCCTCCTCCTACCTCAGTTTCTTTTCTTTTTTCCTTTCTTTCTTCCTTTCTTTCTTTTTTTTTTTGGGGGGGGGGGGACAGGGTTTCTCTGTGTAGCTCTGGTTGTCCCGGAACTCACTCTGTAGACTAGGCTGGCCTTGAACTAACAGAGATCCCCCCTGCCTCTGCCTCCTGATGGCTGGGATTTAAAGTTGTTCACTACCACTGTTATTATTAAACAATTTAATAAATCTTTAAAAATTTTATGTGTTATTTTAAAAGTTTGCCCTTTTTTTTCTCTGAGCATCTAGCATAAAGCCTGGCTGTGCTGACCAATTTTATGTCACTTGACATAAGCCAGAGTCATTTGGGAAGACCAAACCTCCACTGGAAAATGTCCCCACCAGACTGGCCTGTGGTATCTTTATGACTGATGATGGATGTGGGAGGGTCCAGCTCACTGAGGGCAAATGCTAAGTGGTCAAGTTGTCTTTGGTGCGATCAGAGAGCAGGATGAGTGAGCTGCTGGGAACAAGTCAGTAAGCAGCACCCCTCCACGCCTGTGCTTCAGGTCCTGCCTCCTGATCCCTGTGTGCCTTGAGTTCCTATGTTGACTCCCCTCACAGATAGAGTCACATGAGTTGTAAGTTGAAACAAACCCTTTTCTCCCCAAGTTTGGTTATGGTGTTTTATCACAGCAATAGAAACCCTAAGATGCTAGCCCATGGTACTTGCTGAAGAGATTAATGCAGTTGGGATTAGAACCCTGTCATCCCCACACTCAGGAGGTGAATTCTGAGTTCCAGGTCAGTCTGGACTTAGTAAGACTATCTTTATTTTTATTTTAAGACAGGGTCTCTTGTACCCCACTTTTGGTCTTTCTTCTGACCTCCCTGCTTCTCACGCTATCTCCAGAGTGTGTAACCATCATGCCCACCCGGGTTTATGAGGCACTAGAGACTGAAATCAGAGCTCTGTGGATGCTAGCCAGGCACTCTACCAACTGAACTGCATCCCTAGCCCTGAGACCCCACTTTAAAGGGAGGCGGGGCTCTGGTGAGATGGCTTAGTGGTTAAGACCATTGGCTACTATTCCAGAGAACCCAGGTTCAATTCCCAGTTCTAGGGAACCCCATTCTTTCTTGTGGCATCCCCAGGCACTGCATGTCCATGAGACACAGACATACATATATGGTGATGGCCAAACATCCATATACATAAAACAAGCAATTTAAAAGTTTAAACAGAAGGGCAAGTAGTGAGGTACCAAGTTGATGACCTAAGTTTGATCGCTGGAACCAAGATGGAAGGAGAGATGTGATTCTGACTGGTTTTTTTTTGTTTGTTTGTTTTTTTGAGACAGGGTTTCTCTGTGGCTTTGGAGCCTGTCCTGGAACTAGCTCTGTAGACCAGGCTGGTCTCGAACTCACAGAAATCCACCTGCTTCTGCCTCCCGAGTGCTGGGATTAAAGGTGTGTGCCACCATCGCCCGGCTTTTTGGTTTTATTTTAAGACAGGGTCTTGTCATGCAGTCCATGCTGGCCTCTAACTCCTTCTGCAACAGCCTCAGCCTCCCTAGTGCTGGGATTGTAGGTAGGTACCGCCATTCCCAGCTTTAACAGGCATTTGCCCATCATCTACACTGTGCCAGGAGTGACTCAAGCATTTCACAGGCATTGTCTGTAATCCTTAAAGACACTCCTTGCTTTAAGTTCTTTTGACACCCACTTTACAGCCGAGTCAGCTATGGCCCAGAGGGACACACAGAAAGGAAGAGAAAGAATCTTGGGAGTCCAGAACCTGGGCATGATGGAGTCCTGGACCACGCTATAAAAGCTGCAGTCAGGACAGCCAGAAGCGCCCACCCTTGTGGAGCCGACAGTCTAGCCGGAAGTCAGTGATGCTAAAGAGCAGCAAAAACACTAAGCTTGTTGGATGGCCCTCCTATTTCTAGATATACCTACCCTGTCTCCCCACTATCCTCCCTCCTCTCTCTTCCAGTCTTCCATATGCCTGAGCACCCTCCCCTTTCCCAGTTGGGATCTCACAGCTTTGGAGGGACCTTAGACTTGGTGCTGATTGAATGGAAACCACCGGGTTTCTGGTTCTCTGACACTGTGAGAATTAGCTGGACCCGAGGTCCAGAGAACAAAGGGAGCTGTCAGAAAAGCTTAGGGAG